CAGGTGTGACTGCAGAGTGGCTACCTGGGCATAAAGAATGGCCAAAATTCTGTATCATGGCAAGCGATGGCCAGAGCCGGTCCTCTGCAAGGAGCCAACCAGCTGAAGGTGTTGGAGAACAAAGAGAGAGGGGGAAACCAGGTGACCTGTTTTCCAGGAAAGAGAGAAAGCACAGAGGCAGCTGGGCGTCACTGAGGAAGGCAGGTCTGGAAGCGGGTCAGTCTCCTGCTTTGGGACTCAGTGAGGAGAGTCCAGGACTCGGGACTTTGGATTCCCCCCCCGAGATGGTCTTTGCTGAATGCTCCTGATTTCTGTGCTAACAAGCTCTGTTCAATGCTGTGTTCCCAGCAACCAATAAACCCGTCTGTTTTCCAAGCTGGCTGAGAGTCACAGCTGACTGTGGAGGTGGGGTGCAGGGCCCCTGTGAGGAGCATCTCAGGCTTCTCCTTAGGCTGCCCTCGGGGTGAGGATGGGGCCGTGCATCCTCCCTGGGCTCCAGGACCAGGGAGGCTGGGGCCACAGGCTCAGTGGGTTGGAGGGATGTTGGGGGTTCTCAGGGGTTGGGGGTCCTGCCCCTACAGTGGAGGGTCTTGCCTTCCTCAGCCCTACGTTCACCCCCCACCTGCTGTACTCCGTTCTTATTCCTGGCTCCTAGTCCCAGACAGGGGGGGCTGAAACAATCTGTACAGTGGGGGGCACTGAGAGCCATTGAACCAAACTGTAAACCCTGGACAAGATGGAAAACCCTTCAAGCTAGTGGGTGTGTCAGGGCCCCACCAGCCTAGATCCAGCGCCTGTGCTGCCCCCCAGCCCTGATTGTGCCCCTGGGCCTCGCTCCTTCCCCGGCCCCCAGATAGGGCCACCCACCCTGCATTCAGTTTGGCCCCTGACCACCTTCTGTCCCACCCATTTACCCCCCCCCCCAGATCTCCCTGAGCTGCAGCCTCCATCCGCACCAGCGCGGCCGGGGGCAGGGAAACAAAGCAGCTGATGGGGGCGAGGGGGATGGGTGGTAACGTGATCCTCCCCCCGCCCCGCACACACCGGCAGCTGGCGGCAGCTTTCCCGGGCCCTGGGCAAGGACTCGCAGCCAGCTCCGCTGGGAGCAGCCCGGGAGTGACGGGGGCGGGTCTCTCTCACCTTCCCTCCGAGCGGGGCCCCCCTGGGGCAGGGGCAGGGACGGGAAGGTGCCAGGCCAGGCCGAGGATTCAGACTGAGGCTACGATACTAAGTAA